AATTCATAGATATCTTCGCAAAATTTAATTGAACATTTTCACTTTGCGTTATTGTATTTATCACAAATTCACAACTAATTTTACAAATTAAATGAAAACGAAGCATAATTTTATACAAGACAATACAAAACAAATGCGGTTTCAAAAGATTTTTCTATACATACAATCACTTTACAAGTTTAAGCCAATTACATGTCCTTAACAGTAACTTTGGTTCACCTCTATGAAAGATATATTAGAGCTTATGACTTTTATTAAAAAAAAAAAACGAAAAACCTACTCAATTGTGGAAGAAAAAGAAAACTTAATTGTTTTCCAATTAAATGCAATTTGTGTATAAAATGTTATTTTAACAATTTTATGAATTCATTAATCAAGTAATACTGTAACTGTAAACTCCACTGGATTCCTGTACTCAATATATTTGTCCTGAACTTAATTGGTTAATCAAAAGACCAATATATATACTTCTATAAAATTGAACAATTTTGAAAATAATATTATTTGCAAACATTTTTAGAGCAGTTTTTTTGAGTTCTTGACCTTTCATGATTTGGTACAGAATAACCATTGAGAAAATAGAGACACTGAAAACCTCGGCCGCGAAAGCATTAACCATCTTAATAAGAGAATGTTGATCTTGCTAGAAACAGTTTCCTTCCTACAAAAAAAAAGATAAAATTATTTACCAATTTATTTTGCCTTGTGAATATGTTAATGAAGGAAATCAATTAAGCTATTTCAGAAACTGAATCTGCCCCCATATTCAAATCAATACAAAGAAATGCAACACAATACAAAAAAAACCTCCCAAATATTGAAAAAATTAGAGGTTAGTTTGAAATAGTTAAACACAAAGTTACACTTTATTTGATGTTTTTTTATTTTCTATTCATGCAATTTCTGCTTTTTATTATTTTATTTTTCATATATTTCATTAATGAATTTTCGTATATACGGCTAACATTCATTTTTCAATGTTGACAATCAAAACAAATTATTTTTAAAATCTGATCACACCACGGTATCATGTAGTTTTGAAAAGGTTTCCATCAAAATTACGAGAAAGTGCATTAATCATTAAAAAAAGTTACGAGGAAGTGATATATGGCATATAATTATACCAATTCATTTATAGAACTTCCATCAAAATTCAGGCTATTCCAATGAATTCAGCAGGTTTCATTAAAATCTATTGATCATTATTAAACTCTTCAAGAACAGTTCAATCTCTGAACTGTTTAGTTACTAGAGGGTTTTCGTACAGTACCAATGTAATCTCAAAATCAACATGATTCTGTGATATTTTTCCAGAAATGATTCCAATCTACATTTTTACAAAATAATTTCGAAAATTATTTGTGGTTGTACTGATATTCACTCCATTTGACCACCATATACAAAAGGGCATGTCAACCTCACTTGCAATAACACCCTAACAAACAACATTAGAATAGTATTAGATGTTACTACAAAGCTTATCTTTAATAGCATAATAAATCAAAATTTGAAAGTGCATGTTATTTTTATTCTATTTCAACTTTTGAATTATGAAACTGTATTTTGAAATGTGTTTGTAAATACCTATTATATGATTATTATTTCATGTCAATATTATCATCATCCTCATATATACAGGATAGTCATTCGAAAGTAGAAAAGAGCCTCAAGAAATGCTGTCAAATTAGAAAAAAAAAGTAACCCATAATTTTTTCATCATTGGGAGATGGACACTGTTTTCTGTTATATTTTCAACTCCTCACTTGCACCCTAAAATTATTGCCCTCTATACAATGATTCAGTACCATTCGTGGGTTATCGAGTGGAGGTTTCATAAATACAATAATCAGTTTCATTGCTGATACTCCTCACTAATGTGAATAATTTTAAAAAGAATATACTTCAAGAACACATACTGGATACAAAATACGAAGTGAGAATTGAACATGGTCTTACCCAAGCAGCATGCAGTCCCTATCTGATATAAAATTATCATTTGATTTATTGTGGTCTTACTGATACATTATTCGCTGCAAGAACAATTCATATCCTACATCTGGTACACTGTTCTTTCAGGTCAAATACAATGGACATTACACAAAATTGACAGGAGAAACTAATACTCAAATAGAAAAAATTGGAAAAATGTTATTCTGACTTCACAGAATGTCTTGAAGACAATTTACCTGAACTGTTTAACGAGGCACGTTTCTTATTTCAATATATTTTTGAGTTCTTCCGCTACTTTTCTTATAGATAACAGCTTTTATTAGACAAGCCAAAATTTACAATAAAATTATTTCTCCACAATGTGGAAGGTTAAGACTCAAAAAAATATACAAATCCTTTCCAGATGATTATAACTTCTCTCAAAGAATGGTTCGTTCTTCCACATTTTAACAGAAAAATCCAATTTTTTCATAAGCTCAATTAACATTTTCAAATTTCTGAAAGATAAATTCAAAGAAATCATGTTTACAAACGAAGTCGGACATGACTGAAATAAGTGCACCCTAAAATTTACTGGGATTCTGTCTGTTTAAAATTGTGTAATAATATGCACGAAACATTAGAAACTGAATAAAAAAAAATGTTGAAATGCAGCAAAGTTCAGGTTGCACTAAAAACAAAAAACACAAAGATTCCAATGTTGATTTACAATTATCTTGACAAAGGTATCTGAAACTGCGATGAATTTCGATCTTAAACTTAAACCAGGAGAGATCAAGATAGAACAACACTAAAAACTAAAAATTATTATTGTAAAGAGGTCGAGTGTCCCTCGATTAGGAACCAGCTGTGGTCATTTATATCACAATTCTGTTTTTGTTTCTGCAGCACAGTGAGCTGGATATCTTTTCGAACATAATTTTTTTTCTTCTAACCTACATTTCCGTTTTTTATGTATGCAAAGACGGTGTTTGACAGAATTAATTATAAAAATAAATTTTCAATTCATTAGATTGCAATTTGCTTGAGTAGGCAGCATTTTGAAGTGCCTTAGAACAAGGATCACCACGTTATTACCTAATCATTCTCTACTCGCAAAATATGCATTCTAGAGTTATGATGTTCACCAGGTCACCATGCGGATATTGAGACACATATCAATGTAAGCATATAGGACGTTTTAAAAAAACTTTGTATGAACACCTGACGAAAAAAAACACTCTTTTTGAAAAATGTTGTTTACAATACTTTGAGGTAGCAGTGTTGATCACCATCTAACACTTATTTTGAAATAATAGTCTGTCATCTGGAAAACTACGGAGAGCTGATTGTTGGCAAAATTGTTTAATTATTGCACGTTCCGATCTTTATAGTTGGAATGTTTCCAAATAATCGGGGTTAACATTTACACATCTTCATTTCTGGAAATCAAATCCAAACTTATATTGAACACGTTTTTTATATTTCGTGAATGAGAAAATGTTTCCAAAAAATTAACTTTCACGCTTCCCAGTATAAGAAAAAGTTTCGAGAAGCCTCTTGGGTGTTATTTGTAAATTATTAGTAAGCTTCGGGAAACCACTATAAAAATAATTTTAAACCAACGTGCTCATTATAAATTCGTAACAAAAATTTTAATTAATAATATTTGAATATTTCTCAAAAGAGTTCACTTTTAAGTCAAACGGGTTAATTTGGTTGAGGCCAGAGATCGTTAGGAGTTCATAATATTGAGCAACATCCAAATGGTCACTCACATCAGTGAAAAAAAAAAATAAAAATCAATGTATTGCAGGAATGACGTCCAATAGAAGTTTGTTCAAGTAGTTTTCAGAACATGCTATTCAAAACTTATGTTTGGCACTAGCCAACATTAAATGATTTCAAAAGACAAGTTGGACTCAGGTGCACATATAAGCAATCTTGTATATGCACAACAATCACGTGAACTTTCTTTAGATTTCACTAATATATCTAACTGTTGCAATCTTGTTCTGAATTGTAAGTCTTCCCAAGTTGTGTTCATCAAACGCGGTCTCGTTGGTAATCTACAGAAGTAGAAATATTCCTTACTACTATAGTTCTAAAAACTTCAAACACTGTTGAAGATAGAGATTTTGTTGTAGATTCAGTAAAAAAAAAAAAACTTAAAACATTGTAATATAGAAAAAGAAGTGAGCGTTGCATGAAAAGAAAACCTGTACCTTTGATGGTATTTTTTCCAGTGCTAGGCCAGGTGAACTCCTACATATGTATTTATTTATTCAGTCCAGTGAAAAAAACAATTGATGATTCAAATTAATTCTTGTTTTCGAAAAATTACTATTCAAAATACAGAATGATTCATTTGCGAAGTTGAAGTTATAGTAACGAATTTACCCCTCAGCAAAATGGGTAAGATGAAAATGAGATGGGACACTATCGAAAGGCATCTTACAAACTCAATAAAAATTTCAATAAAATTTACCGAGTCTGAAACAAGTAGGAATCAGCTCACTCAGAAAATTTGACACAAACATTTGGGATAAAATTTTTGTACAGCATATTCTGAAGAACATTCTCATCACCCTTTTTTTTTGATTCAACTAAAATAATTACATTGTAACGTTGTCCTTGAAAATCATGAACATGTACCTGGAGAACATTTTTGTAAAGTTCCAGCCTTTAACCGAGAGATATTTTCCATAAGATTCACGAGGGATCTTTTCCACATATAAAAAAACATTTAAATTCCACAACTGCCACGATGGTTACTTTATATTTTATGTTATTATTATCATTATGTTTTTGGATCACATATTCATTTCTATACATTGCCCTCACAGAATTATCAACTATTTGTAGTATCCATCATCTGGTGAAATTTATTACAGAAAATCGATATTTTTTCACAAAGAACACATTCACAACTCCTTCTCATCTATAATAAATAACAATGGACAATCATCGAAAGATAAAATTATTCAAAGGTAAAATAGAAAAGAACCCTTTGAAACTGACCCGACTCTTGTGTGGATTCAAAAATATACATTAAAGAAACGAAGTCAGTCTATGAAAGTATTTTCAACGAAAAATCAAATATATGTTTGGAGAGTTCTGAAAATGTTTAATTGTTTTCCGAGTTATACCAGTTTACTAGCGTGAAACGCCAACAACAGCTTCCGAATGACCACGAAAACATCCATGCTCACTGTCCAGAATGAAAACTCATTATACAAAAAAAAATAAGGTTACACTAACAAAAAAAAAACGTTAAGACGCCTAACACTAACAACAGCACTCGAAGAGGGTCTCTATTCTGTTTTTATTTTTTTTTTTGAACACATTAAAGCAGTCAATTCAGTATTTCGTTACTGCGGCTTTCACGAACTTCAGCTCTGCTTGACGCGTTTTCTCGGCGGACCTATTGGGGGGATCTGTTGGGTCGCGAGAGCACGGAAAGCCTCCGCTATCAGGTGGGGATGTGTCTGGATCATCGATTTCCAACCCGGAGTGTCCATAACGTCCGTGGCGTGACTGAAAAAAAAAATCATTACGACTGTAGTCAACTGATAAATATCAAAGTCCAGTCCTCTCAATAGAAAAACACCAGAAATGAAAACATCTGTTACACAATAACATTTTCTGGTTGAAAACATGAGTATTCATAATAATATTGATGAATAAACTCGAATTCAGAAGGTTGACATACTTGGATTGTTAGGATTACTCAGTGCACATGATTTATTGATCCAATAATCACGTCACGAAGAGTAGTTCTTCATTTATTTAGGTTACCCTAATGTACCAACATTCATTAAAATTGGATACATGGTCCAAATTAATATTATGAAGGGAAAAGATTTGTTTGTTCCTAAAAACAACTAATCAATTTTGAAAATAATTTTACGTATACAAAGCTACATTATCAGCGAGTAGGTCAGGTTAGGTCCAAAGTGAGTGGGTCTATTTGATCCCCAACTTTAACCTGCAATGGTTTATTATTACTTACCCCCATTCAAACTCGACCATTTAAATCCAGCTAATTAGCTTATATGGTGAGGGATCTTTTGAATGAGATGACAAGAGTGAAACTGTGTAAAACTGTGATAGAACTTGCCTATACTTGATGAAAATCCATTATAACGTATTAAAAAAACACTTTGATGTGAGATTTCCACTTGAAAGTTTACAAAACCGAGACACGTGTTTCAATTTACGATAACATTTTCGGGCGTCACGATATACAGAGTGTTTTCTAACTACGGTTCGAAACTTCAGAGGGTGATTCGTTAGCTCGTTTAAAAAAAAATTCTATGAACATAAGTATTGAGTTACTTCGTTTCCGAGATACAGGGCCTTGAAGAAAAAACCTTACACCGGTTTGGTTGAAATTTGCTACAGTTATTTGAAGTAATAAGCCCGAACTAGATTGAAATTATTAGGTCCAGTGGCATCTTATCTCTACATCTCTTACTATTTACAAGATTCCCATTAAAAGACTCAAATTTGTGAATATAATCCTACACAAAATTTAAAACCAACAAGATACATGCCAAAAACAATAGATTCAAAACTTACGTATTTATGAAATCTATGGCCTGAGCTTTCAGTTGATCGGCACTGTGGAGATCAGCTAAAATGAGGATTTCTGCTGCATTCTCTATCGATAAATTTGTACAAAGTGCTTCTTCACACATCACCTTCAACCTTTCCAGCGCATACTGAAAAAACAACTTGTGAAACAGTTGAAAAAAAGGACTCTATGATCTCAAACTCTATACATTCATTCAAATTCTGAATTTTCAAGAAACCATGGAAATAATAATTTTTGAAATCAACTTAAACAATCAAGAAGGATGTTCTAGGCTCTTGGACGGGTTTCCAAACTGGAAAATTCCTCACTTGCACGATGTTAAAGTATGAGATTCAAACATAAAAAATGAAAAACGAACTTTATCTGCTGCTGCTAATAGGTCGTCAGCCATTTTTTCTAAATTCGACGCTTTTCCGGTATAAATGAACCTCAGCATCTCTCTCAGTACTTCATGATCGACATCTGTTATATCTACTCGGTTGTGTTTCCTTTCCTCCATTTCGTGTTCGAACATCGCTTGGAAAACAGGACTTCGCGCTGGAAATTGAATGATTTGGTTACTTGGGAAAAGTGTTTGTGTTGTAAACAGAGTAGAGGTTTTAGGTTAGTTGAATAGCAAAATAAGTCAACACCAGAATCTCACAGTTAACATGAAGGTCTCCAAATTTTAAATAACCTTGGGCAAGAATGTGGAAACTATCCTTGTTTCTAAAGAAATAAACATATAAGCAAAATTTCTTCAAATTGACTAAAGATATTCTCAAAGGCATGCTGTTTTACAAGGAATAATATGGTCAATTATTCACAAGAAGTATATTACGAGCCAAAATTTGTTCATATGAAAGAATTTTGAGCAAGCCTGAAAACTTGTTTGTACTATAATTAAAAAATGTATCAAATATGCTACTGAAAAATAAAAATGTGGTTTGATTTTTATTCATGCCATATATAACTTCTTTCCATGAACCATGCAAACCTTTCTTCATTTTTATAAAGTTTTACCTTTGCCTTTCTAGTTTCCTAGAGATTCATAAAATAAAAGGTACACTTCCTGTCAACTCACACATTCACAATTATCCTACCAGAAATGCATGGAAACATAGTCTGCCGCTAATTATACTTGAAATTTCTATGTGAATCCACCTAGATTTTAGCTAATCAACTGATATTACACATTCCAGTACAGCCATTTTCAAAAAAAAATTTTTTCATTCAATCCAAGATTTCATGAACTCATCATCTTACATAGACTAATATCTTTTGTATTTGTTTTTCAATTAAACTTAACTTAGTTCTCAATTATAAAATATGACTTTATACTCTTTTAATTATGATTGTTTTTATGTTCTATTACCTCACTAACATTATTATTAGCCATACCTCATTGACTTGTCACAAATGTGTATTAATAGAAATAGAAATAGTTTTATTCATCACTAAAATTTTCACACATACATAATTACAAGACTAAATAAATGAGAAAACTTATTGGACTAGTCAAAAGTAAAACGCTAAAAACAAAACACAAATGTTTGATCCTGTACAAACTTAAAAGAGAAGACTACATGTATAAAATAAACTAAGTCATTTATATAAGCACTAAAAGCAAGAAATTCATCCATACTGTAGAAGAAGTTATCCAACAAGAAATCATATAGTTCATTCCTCATTACAGTTCTACTTTTATTGATCCCTATAAAAGTTGTTATTTCATTGAAACATTTAATACCCAAGTATTTTTGGGAATTTTGACTCACATAATATGCATAATATGATTAAATGTCTGTCATATCGAAGATGAGTCTTTATTTTTTGAAATATTGAAGATTTAGTTTAACAATATTTCACCATAATTCTGAGGTGCCAAAAATTAGCTCTTTTTTTACAAGGAACAACATAATTGGAATGAGCGTTGGTGGATGAGGGTAACACAATTAGCAAAACGAGCATCGAGAGACAATATTTTTGTTTTGTTTTTAATAAATACTCGTACATACCTCATAAACTTATTTTGAATCATTTCAATGTTATAATTCTGAGAGAAATAATAAAACAATAATGTTTTAATAAAGACTGGGTTTCCAAAACAGTTGTCTTTATTTGAATAGTAAACTTTTTTTGTTTTTGTTATTAGGCCATCGATTTCATCAAAAATTGCCTGCTGATAAAAAATACCCAATGTTGCACATTATATATTTCCACTTTATTTTTCATACAAAAATGTTGATTTGTTAAAACTTAGCTATTCTTATAAATGATTGCAATATCACTTGTAATGCTAGTTATGCTCCCGCAATCTATTATAATCACAAATACCACTCATCCCAAATTCAATTTTCTATAGCTTTTTACGTAAAATTGAAAATAGTCATTGCCTTACCTGCCAAAATAGCTTTGTGAGCTTGGAACTCCCTACCCGCAACAGATAATGTGACATCACTGAACTTCTGATTTTCAAATAGTAAACCTAAATCGTCCGATAACCTACATTCCGGTACCTTAAACTGAATTGTATTCGACTGACCTGAAATATTTACACTATCCGCTACGACACTAACCTGAAAATGATTAGTATAATTAGTATTCAATTATTGAGGGGAATGAAAGTTACATACTTCACAAAATATAGTTAATTTGTCATCAGGAAGTAGACCGTTGGCCTCGTCTAATAAAAAGTCTCTCCTAATGAACTTTTTGAAGCCCCAGTCTTTGCCCTGTACGAATCTGTAGGCCCTCTGACTTTCCATCGCTTTTGTCTCTTCACGTTTTGCATTTAATATACTAAATTTAAATTTGGCTCTAACTTCACTCTTGTTACACGACACTAATAACAAATATAATGATAGGTAGTCTTTGCTTTCTTCGTCTAAACCTTTCGGATTCACTCGCAAACACCTGAAAAAAAACAATTTGTTTAAAAAAATGTAAGAAGTTTTGAAAAGAATAATTAGTTACTTAAAACTTCAATATTCATACTCGTTATTTATAGTTATTTATGATTTTAACAGTTAATGCAGTAATTGAGAAACATTATGGACAAGTTTATTATAATGAAGATCTTTATTATTATGCTGATGAAAAAAAATACAATGTCATAATACAATCACATAGAATTATATAACGATAGTGCATACATACTCTGTTTTCTCATCTCAAGTAACAAATTTCCTGCACATAAATCAGAGAGGATGATCAATTATATGTAAAAAATAAATATGAGTCTAGGAACATGTGCTCTTAGTATAGAATGTCAATTTGAACAATGGAATAAAAAGGAAGAAAAAAGAATAAGAGTATCAGAAATAATTTACTGGAAAGCCTGCAAAATAAACAAATTATTACAAATTTTTGATCTGCATGATCATTTGAATTTTTCAGTATATTTTGGAGTATTTATTCTATATCGAAAAGGGGTATTGAGCTGGTGTATTTAGTAACGATTTATTTTTCCAAGAAACATACTGTGTTTATAGCAAGGAGAAAAAAAAACAGTTATTCAAGAACAAACTATAACATAACTACTTATAGTTTTCTGAACTATTTGTGAGAAAGTGATGATTGCATTTCCGGTCATTGAGTTCACATGATTCTTAATTTTCAATTATTTCTCAAAGACAAGTTTCAAGTTTTCTTGCTTTTTGCACAGGTACTATTTGATCACCAAAACTAAAAACCTAAAAGTTTTCTTGTTATCTGGGTTTATGGTATGTTTCTCTGACCAATGTCAGCAGTTCTATATTTCCCAAGTTTGAAAGAACAATGAATACATTCGAGTAGTATCATCTGCAAATATGTATGGGGATCGTACTTTTTGACATATCACATGACAACAGAAGATAATTCGAAAATTAAAAAAACTTACTCAAATAAAATAATCCTAACCTCAAACACACACACACACACGAATCACTGACTTACCACTTTAATTTATCATTGGCGCCGGCAGAAAACGTCGAAGACTTTAAAACTTCGCCCATTTCTTCTCGACAAAAACTAAAGTTGTTGATAGTCCACATATAACTGAATTTTACCACTTTAACCTGAAACAGAATAAATCACTTGTATTTCGTATAAAATATGTTTATGTCTTACTTTCTGTACTGTCAACAAATAGCATGGGGAAAGGCCATAAGGAAAATTGATAAAATATGATAGAAGCCGCTCCATTTTGTAATAAAATACACGAGCAACACAATTTAGGAAAAAGAAACTTCAGAAATTTCATCAGCATCGGCCAGTTTTTGAGTAAACTTTGTTTCATGTGACATAAGGGTACCTACTATGTCATATGCGACGGACAAGTTCAATTGTTCTTGAGCATCATCAACGTCCATCCCAACGCCTGCACACATGCACATTGCTATCAATATCAATAAACTATACCTACTATGTTTAGGATGTGACAATTTTGTTCAAACGTTTTCAATGCGCGAGTCAAGATACCGACCAAATACCTATGAGGTCTTATGTAGTTTGCCAATTATTAGGAATAATTGAACGTACCTGTCAATCTAGGAAGGAATAATAATTTTAATGTTGTCAAACGGAAGAGAAAATGCTAATACTACATCGGTTATCATTGGAAGTGGAGTATTAATTTTTCTAGTTCGATTATTGGTTCTTGGCGAGACGAAATTATTTCTCACGAACGAAATCTTTACATTATGCTTCGACTTCATATAGGAAGTACCTAGTATTCTAAAGGTCTTCGAAGCGATCCATTTTTTTCATTTTTCAACGAAATAGGTTGTTCCAATAGAATGTCTCGACTCGAAAAATGTGTTCAATTATGTGGTATATAAATCTGTATATTCATGTAGGAAAATTCGTTTGGAACGAAACCATATATCAATATGAAATTTTGCACCTTCGTAAAGTTTTCACGAAATTCTTACCTGGAGATGGAACATAATGGATGGAAAATGTGAAAACTTATTTCACATATCTTCTGAAATAGTTTAATAACCGCAAACATTTTAAAATCATTTTAGTGTGTTTGATAGGCTGTACAAGTAAGCTACCTACATGATTTTTTTTTCGATAACAATGAAGTTCAGACAACGCAAAAAGTTTGAATGAGTTAACTTATAGGTATATTTCCCTGATGAGAAATCCACAAGATAGGTATGGATATTATGTAGAAAATGCTGAAATGTAGAAAAGTATTTTTTGAACCACAATACGTATTTTTTGCAGTGAAAAAACTATAAAAATTATATTTCCAGCTAAAGCATGTTTCGTGTTGCAAACTCATCAGATCAACAGAAAAAATCCAAGGTTCTATATAACAAGACTGATAAAATTATTTGTAATAAAATCTTTTCCTATCTAAGACATACAAAAAAAAATACATAAAATTATTTTGTAAAGAACTACACAAAATCTCATATCATTCAGAAAAACTCAAAAAACAACTCGGAACATTATTACAAAGCAAAAACAAGAAAGGAATATCTCTTTCTGACAATAATATTTTACAAATTTGACTGTTCATATAAACAGATATAACACCCTCCACAATACAGAGATAAAATCGCCGACATATATACATGAAATTTAACATAATTTTTGATAAATTACCAAAAGTGATATGATTTCAGATAGAATAACTTTCTGGGATACCTATCACTTTCTTCAAATGTTTCATCAAATTCCTTCAAGAAAAAATGATGAAATTTCCAGGTTCTGAGCATACAGCAACAAAACTGAAGCCAAATATTGATAATTTGCTGTCAATCCATCAACAAGTATATCCCTCCCATTAAAATTATGACTATTTTGTGATTGTCATTGTAGTGTAGAAGTTACGTTATTAATGTTCAATTTTAATTACATTACGATTATTTTTATTTTTATTTTTACCACACCGAATGGGGAGTTTTCTAAATAAAACAAGTGAGAATCGATTGGTTTCTTGTGCTGTGAGTAGATGTCAAAAAAGTAAAGTTAGACGTATTCACTTTTTTGATTAACCAACTTTACTTTTTTGACATCCGCTCACAGCACATTCAATTAATAAATCAACCAATCAATTCAAACTTTACATTCGAAAACTGTTGATTCGTGGTTGGAACGCAGTTTAAACGCAAATTTCAATAGCTAGATCTAATCGATCTAATCTAATAGATTGTCGAGTTTTGGGAATATGGTAGAAATGTAAATGCAGGGGGTTCACCTGAACCAGCAAAATTTTGAAAGTGGTCGTTAAAATTAATACAGTACAACTGTATAAGCGCAACTCAAAAAATTGAAATTTGGGATAGTGCATGAATACTTTATTTTGAAGTGAAATTGACAGATGAAACTTCCAAGATGGCGACTGGGTGCCATCTGGGAAAAAAATTAAATGGAAAGGGGGGATCTCGTGACACATCTTTTTGAAGCTCCTCACAAATGCTTCACAACCCTAGAATATAATGTCAATATCTTCAAGTACTACAAAATGGCGAAGCTTTTAATAATTGCCTGAATACATTGACATTTAACTACATAATATGAAGTAATAAGCTTGAGGTCAGTTCAGAAGACGTTCGAAATGGTTGCCTCGAACTGCTTGACATATGAACATATGACATATGAAATATTTTTTATTCTCTGCCGTATATCCAATATTGAAGCAGGTTCAGTTTCGTACACCTTTTGCTACAAATAACCCTATAAAAAAAGTCCAAAGGTGTCAAATCTGGACCTCGACGGTTAATCCAACGACCGGGAAAAGTATTATCCAAATAGTTTCTTACTTGTCTGGAGTAATGTGGTGGTGCTCCATCTTGTTGGAATACAATATCCATATCGAATTCATTAGGATTCGCTTCGACGATTTCAGTGATGAGAGGGTCAACAGTAGTTTCCAAAATATTCAAATACCGTTCCCATGTTAAATTTTGATCAATAAATAGAGGTCCTACAATATGGTTTGCCAATATTCCTGCCCAAACGTTGATTTTTTCTGGATATTGGGTATGTGTTTCCCGGACAACGTGAGGGTTGGTGTCACTCAAATAACGGCAATTTTGTCTGTGAACATTGCCGTTTAAAAAAATGTACATTTGTCACTAAAACAAATATTGTGGAAATAGGTAGGATGCATTGCAATTGTTTCGGTTATGATTTCGCAGAATTCTGTTCTTCGATCAGGGTCATCTTCAGTTAATTGGTGTACCATTTTAATTTTGTATGGATAATACCTATTCCTCTTCAAAAGTCTCCACAGAGTAGAAGGAGACACCTCACAAACATTCGCGACGGAATAAGTAGACTGTTCAGGATTTACTACCATCTCACCAATTATTTGCACTTGCTGTTCTTCTGGAATGGACGGATGACCTGGGAGCTTTTTACGTATGTTATGTATGTAGTTGTAAATTTGGATACAAGTTCCCTAAAATATTTTCTACAGATAGGACGATTCGGAAAACGTTCATTGAAAATCCTTTCGGTATCGTGAAAGTTACGCGTCGCACCGTAAATAAAAATCGCTTCAATTTTTTCTTCCAATGGACGGGAATTGACCATTTTAGAGATTGTTGACGTGGTACCTTTCTACTAGTAAAACCGAAAACTGAATAAGAATATTCTAACTGAACAATGATGTTCATTGTCGAACTGACATTTTTTGTGGTTTTTATAAACAAAAAATAACTTAACAAACCTTATCGGGTTGTTGGAATTGCCATATGGCAGATAAAAAGGAATATTTCTAGTAATATCGATATTAATGTGTTTGTCTTCAGGAAATTATTAAATGTTCCGCCATTTTGTAGTAGGTGAAGATATTGACTTCATATTCTGGGGTTGTGAAGTATTCGTCAAGAACCTCAAAATGATATATCACAAGATCCCCCTTTCCATTTAATTTTTTTCCCAGATGGCACCCAGTCGCCATCTTGGAAGTTTCATCTGTCAATTTCACTTCAAAATAAAGTATTCATGCTGTAATTTCATTATCCGAAATTTCAATTTTTTTATTTTACCCGTTCAAAAAATAAAAGGGAGGACGTTAAAGAAATGCACTCTATATCTGATTCATGGACCCCAAAGACTCCTCTCCGAGAAAACGGGAGGTCGCATTGATAACGTCCGTTTCAACTGTTTCGTCCAAGGACGACGGGTGAACAGTCAGCTCGGCGTTTGGTGCGAGGCAAGGATGGTCGGATTTTTGGAGCGTGGACCGATTTTCTCCAGTCGAACGAGGCGGAACAGAGTTTCGTTTGTTATCTCGGCTACGGCCTTTGTTCGATTCTAAGCGTGGCTGACCTTAATATTTCGAGGATCCACGCGAAGGTTTTATTTCTGTATTTTCTACGGGGCCAAGATAGATGAATAGTGCGACGTCGGCCAAGGCGATTCCAATTCAGTGTTTTCCTCGGTTTGATTCGTGAGAAAGAATGCTTTCTAAGCCTGACCGTCATCTTATATTTAAAACCATTTTGATCATTACACGGTATATAACAAAAAAAGTTCATAACAAATCATACCTGTGAAATTTTTATGAAATTCATACGACCTACTTGATTACATTCGATCTAAAGCGTTTCCAAAATAACGTCAGATACCGTCCCTTCCGCAGTATTGCAAATTCTTCAACATGACGATGTGTATTACGATTAATTTCTTATAATAATGATAATATCAAAGCGCCTGACTTTTGCTTTCCTCAGGTCGAGTGGGCTGAAGTCGGAAACTGAGGGGTTCATCATGGCTAGCCAGGATGGTGTCTTCAACACCTTAGTCTACCGCAGTCGCGTGATGGGTATAGAGGTACCTGACATGAGGTGCAGGGCCTGCCGCGACGCGCCCCAGACCCTAATGCACCTGCTATCAGCATGTCCAGTATATGCGGTCTCGGCCTATATCCATTGACATAACGCGGCCATAAGAGTGCTATATTACCATTTACGGCACTCTTACGGTATTGACGAGACACCGGTGTTGTTCTACGCTCCGGGGGGATATTGAATCCGTTGTGGGGAACGAGAAGAGCCGAATTAATTGGAACTATTCGTTCCCCACCCTCAGGCTCATACAAGCTAATAAGTCT